TGATACTATTTTTGTTTGTAAAAAAAATTTTAATTAACCAACTTATTTGTTGATTAATTAAAAATTAGCTATCATTTCAAATAATATCTAATTATAATTATTACATTTCCAAATGAAACATTAATGAAATCTAAATTGATTGAGTAGGCTTTTTTTTAAAGTATTTATTAAAGTTTTTGATTTGTTTATTAATTTATTGGTTTATATGCAAATTTATTCGCAAAAAAAAGAAAGAAAATGAAGAACTTTTTCTATTGCTAATTAATTGCATATTATATTTAAATAATTTGTTCATTAAATTAATTTTGTACGGGTCAATTCCTTAATTAAAAATTATTAGAACGACTTTTTTTTTTTTGATTTTAGGTCAATTTGTTTATTAAATCGTTTTTTGTATTTTTTTTTATTAGGTTAATTTATTTATTCAATCGATTTTTTTACCGATCAATTTCTTGATTAAAAATTATTAAAAAGATTTTTTGTTTCTTTTTTTGGAGGAACCTTTATTAAAATTGTTTTTATTTTTTCGGGTCAATTTATTTATTCAGTTAATTTATTTATTTCAATCATTTTATTTATTTAATTTTAATTTATTTCGACTAAATTTATTTATTCGATTTTTTACAGAACAATTTGTTTATTTAATCAATTTTTTCTTCGTTTTTTATGTTTTTGTTTTTTGTTTTTTTTGCAATTTTTTCAATCAAATTAATACGCTATTTATTGGTGAAATTATTTTAGGAAAATGAATTTTTTTTATTTTTAACTTACCTCACATAGTTGTAAATATGATACAAGATGAGTTGAAATAAGCAATTGACCGGATCCGTAAGCTAAAAATTTCCCAAATAATGCAGCTGCTCTAACATATGAAGTAATACGTTTGAAATGTTTCTGATTAATTACTGCATACATATATGATACATAAGCGATATCCGATGCTGTTGATAAGCCTATTAATTAGTAATAAATTAATTTTAATAATTTAATTAATTTTTACTAAATTTTATTAACTAATCCATTTTTTTAATATCAATTTAATCCAGTTTATTTTTTATAAAATTTCATCATTTAACACTTTTTTTTTCATTTCAAAAATTTTATAAAATTATTTTAGAATAATTATTAAATGTATTATTATATACAAACCAAAAATAATTTCCATTAATTGCATTTGCCATATTTTATTACCCCAAAGGATGATTACATGTGAAGCGCAATATGATAATGCTTCAAGAACTACAATTGGTTTATGTCGTAGTAAATCAGTAAGAAAAAATATGGGTATCTGCAAAAATAAAATTAATTTAAATTATGAAATAATTTAAATTTAGTTTACTTTTTTTCATTGATTTAAATTAATTTTAATAGGCAATGGTAAAAGGAAACGAAAAAAGAAATAAAATAAAATAAAAAATTTATTTGTAATAAATAATTACATTAGATTAGATATTAAAGGGAATGAAGTAATTAAGAAAGAATGAATAAGTAAAATTATTTGTGGAATTATTTGCATTTAAATAAAAAATAAAAATAGAAAAAAAAAGGAAAGAAATGAATAAAAATTTTTGTGGCATTATTGTTGCTTACTTAATTTGGAAAATTTAATTAATTTTTATATTTAACTTTTTTTATAAATTATAAAAGAATATTGCAAAAGCTATACAATAATTTTCACCAAATTATTGTTTTTTTTTCATTACAATAATGAAATTTACATTTAAATTCAATATCATAATGAATTCACTAAATTGTTTTTTTTAAATGCAATAATGAAATTTACATTTTAATTCAATTATGATATTATAATGAAATTAACATTTAAACTGAATATCGTAAGTGATACATTTAAAAAAAGAAAACAAAGCTTTTGTAAAGTAATTTTCGCCAATTTTTTTTAAATAAAATAATCAAATTTAAATTTAAATTCAATCTCATAATGAAATCAACATTTAAACCCAATATCATAAGTGATATTTTTAAAAAGAAAAAAACAAAAGTTTTAATTATAACTTTTTTGACATCATATCTGAATTATATTTAATGCATAATTTTGTAAACCAATTTATCATTTTGTTCATTTTCAATTAATCTCATTCATTTCTATCATTAACAAATAATTGCAAATTAATTAACAAATTAATTAATTAATACTGAGGAAGAAATTTTAATATTTTATTACATTATTTTCAAAAAAAAAAGAAAAAAAAAGAACCAACCAATGCGATCAAATATGAATAAGTCCATAATGGATATATTTGACTGTATAATTGAACATCGGTGAAATTTTTATATGATGAAACAAGGAATGGTGTCAAAAATGGTGTCGCAGGACGAAATTTCTTGATCATTCCATATAAACATATGAAACATGCTAAATGTTTCCAATACATTTCGGCTAATCATATATATTATCTAGAAATTATGCAAATTTTTCTATTTTAATTTTTTAAAATTACTTAAAATTTAATCAAATTTCATTTTTATCGTTTCATTCTTTTCATAGATATATTTTTATATATATATATATATATATATATATATATATATATATATATATATATATATATAT